AATTACTCGTTAACTATTAACACTAGCGAAAAACTTTTATACAGAAATTGTAGATCTCGTCATCCTCTACAAAAAAGGTCATATGCAATTTTTCCGTATGTCTAACGGTTTGGGAGTTATTGGCCAAAAACGAAAATTTGAAAGAAATTGAAGAGGACATTGGAAAAAGTGACCCTTGGAAAAATCTCGGAAAAATCGAAAATTTTGTTGTTGTTGTTTATTATTAGCAATATTCTTTCCACGTCTGATTTCTTTTTAAAAAATGCGTTTCAAAAGTGCATAAACTTTTAGGATTGACTGTATAGCCAATCGAAAATAATAAGCTGGCGAAAGTTCTTTCGTACGGATTATGGCTCGGTTTATACCTGCGTATTTTGTATATGAAATGTAAGTATTCGCTCAAAAGTGTTTAATAAACATTTTTACTTCCCTTATTTCTGTATTCTTTATAAGTAAGGAGAGAAAGCAGGAGGAAGGACAGAGAAAACTGGTATCTACCTACATCTACCTGGCCCTACCGATGTGGAAAATTCGTCGAAGCTGCTATTACGTTTCGGATCATCCTGCATTAAGCATCGTGAGCGAATTGTGAAGATTTTTTTAAAACAGCATGTACCAGAGGAAGAAAACGTGCAGCCTTTACCAGCTTCCCTCCATTGTATTAGATATCGAGTAAATTAATATAGTTTTTTATTAAACATTTAAGAATCATAAAATAAATATAGATTCGAATATTTAAGCGTTCCTACGCGTGCATTTAAGCAAATAGTACATTATTAGTTATTATCCGGAAGATTGTAAAAGAAATAAGAAAGGCAGGCATGAAATGTACAATAATTTTATTCATTTTCGATGTTTCAGAACCATTAGTTCAGAGCTATGGATCAAATCCAAGCACATCACGTGATGAGGAAGTACATGTCCAGGACGAACAATTTGCATGTACATCCTTAAAATTTGTGTCCGAATTCTCGTAATTTTTTTTACGGAAATTTACGTAAATACAACAAAGAAGGAAGATAATTTATTGAAAAGGGAGAGAATATTCGTCGATTCCGCCGCTTAGTGGGGAATCTCGTCTTCCTGGACAGCTAGAGACGGAGCACCGTCTTGCCGGCAGTTGACTGTCAAGGAGTACGCTTCGTCTAAGACGCCTTTCGTTTATAATCAATAATTAACTCCACAACGGAATTTATGTATGCCCTTCATTCTCTGCTAGCTTCCTGATTTCGAGATTCCTCAATCAGAGCCAGAGTCACGCAACAAATTCCCTTCCTTTTTTTCTTCCGAACGAAAGATTCTCTTTCGCATTCAGCATTATTGCTGTTTCACAGCTTCGAGAATAATAAATCGATAAATCGACGTGCTTAAGTTTCTAGACGTTCCGCAGATCGTAGTAGCACCGCCTTACAACCCGAGCTCCCGTACAGCCCGTATACTCTGTACGTGCAGTGCAGACTTGTGGTTACAGCTGATCGGTCCACCGATCCAGCGATAATCCAACGTTACTGTCGTCCTCGTCTGAATTGCTTCTAATTGAGAATAGAGAGTAACCTCTCGGCTACATACAGTCCACAAATTATAATAATTATTTTCTGCCGATTCCGAGCGAAATAACGAATAAATCGTTTCGGTGTTTTTTTTCCTTTGTTTTTTACAGAAATCGCCGCTAAGGACCTTTACGGCGACGACACGGCCGTATCCGAGGGCAAGAAGCCGTTTTGTTATTATAAATATTGTGACGGAGCGTACCGTTTCCGTCCTCGCGGTAACCCCCAACCGGTCCAACTCGGGGAGCCTCCCGGAGCCGCCGCCAGGCGGCGTCGCCCGAGACGGCCTTCTCGGGCTAATTAATTACGCGAGCGGCTTAATAAGCGGTCCGCGAACCGTAGTTAGGCACCTTTTGGTTACGGCAACGGAGTATCCGGAGCAAACGAAAGTAACCAGGTCCCCGTGTGTATGGGAGCTTCTCACGGGATAGGGATTAAATGCCCGAACTCGCTAATTTAAGTAAGTGCTTTTTGAAATACCATGTTCGGGGAAAGGTACCTTGTACCTTCCACGTCATGACCACGTCATGGTCATACTTTCCACGTCATTCCATTGTCACTAAACGACGTGACAAGAACAACGCGCTACCACCCGGCTACCACTCGGGTAAGCCTTTACGGGTGTTCGAAGCTCGGATAGCGTAGACCAATAGCTTCTCGGCCCGCTTCACGGGCAATACCGCATCGTCGAGAAAGATCCGGCAGCGGCCGGATCCCGCGTCGCGTAGTCTTAAGCATTAGATTAAGTCGCGTCAAAGCCAGAGTCGTAATCGTGACCCCGCGTCTTCCTGCGCGATCTCTCGCACTGTACATATTCGCGTAGTATTAAGTCACTTGTGACGGAGTACGGTCGTGGTGACGGAGCATATTGGCCAGGGGTCTCAGAATTTATCCCTCGGCCGGAAAGTGGGGACGACGTGACCATGGTGGGGACTGGTACTTGATAGGTTCGCTTCGCGAAGGCGCATGAGGAGAATAGTAGTGGGAATCGAAATACCGGCGAAAAAGAGGGGAAGCGAGTCGTGCGGGATAAATTCTGAGACCTCTGATATTGACCCGACGCGGCAAGCCTCTCGGAGCGGACGCTAGGCGGCGTCGCCCGAGACGGCTTTCTCGCGGCCGCAATACGACGCGGCGAGACTTCCGGAGCTGACGCTAGGCGGCGTCGCCCGGGAGGCCTTCTCGCAACCGCAAATACCGCGCACACCTTAATAAGCGCACCGCGAACCGGTAATTAGCACCTTCGGTTACCGCGAGTAGAAAGCTGCGAGCACTTCAAAGTAGGTAACCAGGTCAACCGGTTGTGTGGGCGAGCCCATCGGTATAGGGATACGAGGCCTGACGCACTTAGCATTTAAGTGATTTTTGCGAAACCTCTGTTTGGGGGAAGGAACCTCCAATCGTGAGGACGTGCCTTCCACAAACAGTGGTCAACAGCTCTCGTCACTACGTATAGTGACAAGAGCGACTCGAGGCCACCCAGCTGCCATTACGCTAAGCCAATAGGGTGATAGAGTAACGGGTAGAGCCCGCTATCACGTAGGATAGCGGTGCCTACTAGAGCTACGGGCACAAGTACGATACGAACCGAGGAAGATCTGGCAGTGGCCAGATCCCGCGTCACGTAGAATAATCATATAGAGCCTAAGTTGGATTAAGTGCGCGCCAGAGTCAAAGCGTGACCCCGCCTTCTCCTTCGCGTAGTACGATAGATTTAGTTCGTAACGTAGAGTATAGCCCGCATAGTTATAGTTCGTGCTACCTTGTATCAGGGTGCGCATAATTTTTCCCTCGGCCGGAAAGTGGGGACGACGCGACCTTGGTGGGGACTGGTACTTGATGGGGGTATGCTAGGCATGGTCAGCGAAGGCACATGAGGGGAATAGTAGTGGGGATCGAAATACGGGCGCGGTCATGCTCTGGCATAGATGTATTGTACGAAACGGAAATTTTGTAACATCGCATCCACCGGTAGATGAAATTAATTGTGTATTTAGTAATGAAACAAATTATTGCAGATAGAGGTTAACGAAGCAGAACCGATCACCGGCCAGAGACCAATCGACGACATCCCCGAGGTCAACCCCCCGGCAGGGCCAGACGACGACGACGACGACGACGATCTTGGCGGGGATTACGAGGAACCCACACCCGAACTTAGACTTCAGACTCTGGCTACTAGAGCCTTGGCGAACAACACCGGCTACGATACCGCCTGCTGTCGTGTGAACGGGCCATCCGCAGAAGCGGTAGGAGCGCTCCGACCAGTCACGGCATGACTTGGATACACATGGCTTGGATACAAGAGCTGAGAAAGGAGGAGCTCGCCCAGCGACTAGCTGTCCTGGGAGAGGATAACGCCGGGGGAATCGCGGAACTACGAGCGCGATTCCGCGACTTCGTCCGGGCGCACCCGGATGATGAACAGCTACGCCGCTGGAAGACAAGCCACAAGACCGCCCCGCTCACTAATGCCACAACGACACACGCTCCACCGACCAACGTGGAGCCACCGACCCTGGCCTATGCCGCACCCAGGGCCATCGACCAGATTCGCAAATGGAATTGCCATTTCCAAGGGAAAGATCTCCCAGGGTTCGTCGAGCGGATCGGCGAACTTAGACGGGCCTACCGCATCTCGGACGAGGACCTCCTACTAGGCCTGCCGGAACTACTGCGCGGGACCACCCTCAACTGGTTCCGGAATCGAGAGGATGACTGGGACACCTGGGAGGACTTCATCCGCGATCTACGCAACGCATACGAGCCGCCATTTCACCAGGCGCTACTTCAAGACCGGATCAGTGCCCGACGTCAGAGACCACGGGAGCCGATCCAAGAATACGTCACGGACCTACAGACGATGTTCCACCGCCTCGGAACGGCCACGCCCGAGCAGGTCCTCGATCGCGCCCTACTAAACATGACGGCAGAGTACCAGATGCGAATCAAGCCCAGCCACATACGCACGCTAGACGATCTCGTACGAGCCGGGAAACGCATCGAAATGTGCCAACAGAGATGGGCCACCGATGCCCAGCAACAGCGACCAACACGTCCAATTCACCGCACGGCCACCGCATGTGCCGACATGCCTTTCGACCGGGACACATGCTGCTGGCGGTGTAAGCAGCCGGGACACACGCGACGAGGATGTACGGCCCCGAGGAAAATCTTCTGCTCGTACTGCGGCACGGATGGGACAACATACCGGGAGTGCGCCTGTGCACGCCCGGGAAACGAACAACGGGCCGGGGCACAGAATGGTGTCGCCCGGCCCAACGCCTAGACGACGGAAGAGTCGCGCTAACCGTGGGCTTCGGGGAGGACACGATCCAAGGCCTCCTGGATACAGGAGCTGCTACCTCCTACATCGACGAGGCCACGGCTCAGAAATGCCGCGAACAAGGATGGACCGCCCAGGCTGAGTACCTCTCGGCTATGCTGGCCGACGGCATAGAACGCGATATTGACGACAGCTGCGAGGGAGAAGTGCGGCTAAGGGGGAAGACCATCCGCCATCGCTTCCTCGTTCTCCCCGGGCTACCACACGCGATGCTCATAGGCGCCGACCTCCTAAACCGATTAGACTTCCGAGCCACCATCGCAGGACATTTGGTGTGGCTACCAGCCACGAAGCGCGCTATAACGGGCAACGGTGGCCGGCCACCCAACGCTAAGCAGAGCCACCTCGAGACCGTTGAGGGACTTGCGAGCGTACCGTCTCCGTCCTCGCGCGCGACCCCCTGGGAACTCGCAACCGGCCCAATTCGGCGAGCCGCCCGGTGTCGGCATCCTGTTCAACGTCTTTATCAAAAAGCAATAAATAGCCTTGTTTTGTACTACGTCTCATTTACTCGACAAACCTTCCCCTTAGCTTAAAAACGCGTAATTTGGACGAATGGTCGGCACCACCTTGGTACCAATCGGTGGCGCGGCCGAACCACCCGTTACAATACAAATAGACGCTAGTTTCGCGAACGATTTAATATAATGCCACTTCTTTCATTTACTTCTTTCACGGTTCTTGTTTTCTTCTTTCATTTCCTTTTCATCATATCTCTTGTTCGCTTTCTTCTATTATCACAGCAATCTTGCTGTAATACTGATCCTTTAAGCTGTATCACTTTTATTTCTTGCTCTGCTTGCTTTCCTGCAACATGAATACAAA